CTCCTAAATGTTACACACTGAGCTCGTTTCATTTGGTTCAATTAAGTGTGTAAAATGTCAGTCACCATCAAGAGATCTTACTACCTACCTTGTCAGCTGCTGTGTTATCCTCCACTATGGTGGAGACATCTTGGATGTCAGAGTTGGTAGTGAATATTGTCAGTCCTCCTGACACGGAGGACAGGGAAGAGTAGAGAGAGAAACGATCCGGGGACAAGGGTTCCTTACTCGTTCTCCTCCTCCTCCTCCTCCTCCTCGGACTCCTCTTGCTCTCGGTTATATAGTTGGGGTCTTCAGTTAGGAGAAACGTCACCTGTGGGAAGCCCATAACATAACCAGCTGAGCTGAAAGAGACCTGATTGATTGCAGTCCCCTTACTGTCACAGCTTCTGTCCACAATAAGTGCACAGTATGAAAGATGAGACATGAAGCAATAAACAGTATCTGCAAACAAAACTTTTTTTTGTCTGATATGAGACATTCAAATGTGTTTCATTTAGATGTATGCTTCCAGCTGAGAATCAGAAAATGCCCCCATATCCCAGTAGAATCATGGTTGATTGTCTTCAGAGCAGCTTCAGATTTGTCTCTAGATGACATCATTATTGCAGTAATTTGTCTGCTGATCATCTAAGGAAGAGATTCATAAATTACAACTGCATGTGTGCAATACCGAAGACAGCGTAGCTCATTATAGAGGAATTCTCTTAAAAATTAAAACCTACCTTGCTTTGTTTCTCAAGTGCGAGGGCCTTTACTGCATCATACAAGTGGGCGTCTTTAGGGGAAGCATCAGTGAATACGAAGATCTCTGACAGAGGTGGACTGTGAGTGAGTGCCAGCTGAAAACACACAGCAAGATGGGAAATAAGCTGCCACATGTGCTTGTAATTCTCATACTATTCATGTGTTCTCACACACTTTACCTCTGACTTTATCTTGAGTGTTAAAAAAGAAACAGCATCTAAATTTACCTGGATAGCAGAGAGGCACATCTCTGGTTCGTCTCCTCCTCCCAGAGCCATCAGGTTCTCCATTTGCAGCATAAACTGATTTGGGTCATCAGTCTCATACACTGGTCCTACCCCTGCAGTACAGTAGATAGAAATGTTACATGGTGAGCAACAGCTGCTGGCTTCTTGAGCAGAATGTTAACCATCACACTGAACATTTTCCAGTGGGCCTTACACCTTAAAGGACTTAAAAGAACATTTTGGGAAATTGATTGACATCACTGTTATGGCCTTGCCCTAATGTAATTATGGCAGCTGATTAGCTTAGCTTAGCACAAAAACTGAAAGCAGGGAGAAACAGCAAACCTGGCTCTGTGCAAAGGCAATACGATCATTCTACCAGCACCTCTAAAGCTCACTGAAGTGTAAAAAAACGACAAATTGCAGTACGAGTTATGTACCAGTCTACTTCTTTTCTGGCGCAGTAACTTCCTTTAGTTACAGGGATTTTGTTACCATTGGATAGAACCATTTTTAATATCAAAGTATTTGTTTCAGACTCTATATGGCCAAAGGATTGTTGAAAATCTCAGTCCAAAACCATGGGCATTACTGTGCAGCTATTGTAGACAATAAAATCATTATCACTATTGTTAACATTTATCACATGACCAAAGCAATATTGTTAAAGTAAAAACTGAACAGCTAACACAATGATAAAAGATCATTACATTAAGCAAGTCAATAAACAACTGATTTAAAGACAATCTAGATTCAACCCAGCTCCTACAGCAGATCTTTCCAGCTTCATATATTACTGTTTTCATTTTTGACTGAGACAAATATTCATCCTGACCTGGGTCATGGAAGGGCACAAGTAGAAAGGTGCCAGGTTGCCCAGGGTGGCTGTCTCGGCTCTGGATAATGGAGTGGGCCCGGAGGCGAGCGGCAGTAATCTCCTCAAACATGCTGCCTGTGGTGTCCATGACAAACACCAATGCAGGGACCTGCTTCACACTGAAAAGTCTGTTGAAGGAAGTTTGGGAGGAAATAAAGACATTCTATATATACTCAACAGCTCAAAATAATGAAATATTCTGTTTATTACAGCTACTTCGGAGTTGAATGCAACATCTTAACCAATTAAGGTGAGCCTACTGTGTGTTCTCCTCGGGGGAAATACAACAGCGACCAGTCAGAGCCTACCTGAGGAAGGTTTTATGGCCCACAGTGTCTCTGAGGTCTCTGAGCACACTCAGGGTTGCCTCAGTAGCCAAAGTGGCCGCTTCCACATGGAGGTAATGGTGAGGGGAAAAAAGAGGTGAGGTGCTGTCCTTGTTGATGCCCCCTTTGGCCCCAATATAGCGGCTACTGTCCAGAATACCTCCATGACTACATTTGCCTATAAAGAAAGTCAGTATCTTTAAAGGCTTAAAAGGAAAAAGCCAGTAAAACATTTTATATAGAAAATGCGATTCATTTGAATGCATTTATTCTGACTGAAGTGTCACAGACATACCCTGAGGTTTTTGAGGGAAAGTGCTGAAGTAGCCGGTGGTCAGCAGCTGGGAGTCTTGCCGTGTTTTTGTCAGTCTTGGCATAAGGTTGTCTCGACAGGTGAGGCTGAAGCACTCCATACAGGTAGGAGTGTCTTCTGTGGATAGAGGAAGAGAAAGAAAGAAGGTTTATCAGTGGTAAGCCACAACTACTTTGCTATCATCATCTTTGTTTGGGTTTTAGGGATTGGAGGCCTTTTCTTAAAGATCAAGTTCACCCTGTGAGGTTTGAATGCAATATGCATCAGCTATGTCTCACAAATTATTAGTCATAGAGGGACTGCCTACATTTTGAGATAGAATATATTTTAAAAGCATGAAATACTGCATTGGCAGGTTCACTGTCAAGTACTGTGGTTATGGACGTTAATGGATGGTTAAAGTTTTACCATAATATATAAATAATACACCCCAGTACTGGCCATATTGCCTACTTTGTTTTTCTCATTGGTAGAAATTATGGTTTAAATCAGTTGTACTGGCCATAAGACATGTTAAAGGCCACCACTGAGTGATACTAACAATAATACTGCCATGGTACAAAGATGTACCCCTACGTAATTTTGCTGTGGTATTGGTCATAAACATAGTGGCATGGTAGCTAAATAATTACCATGGCTATATAACTGTATGATGAAAATCATTCTGGCAGTGTTAGCAATCTACCTGGAAGATTCCGAAACAAGCACAAAATCACAATAGCTGCAACAACGTACATCCACGCTTTCATGCATTCACACAAACACACAAAAACACACACACACACACACACACACACACACATTGACCTTTATGGCAAATTATAGACTCATAGACAGTATAAAGTTGTGTTTGATCTAGGGTGGGCACAGCTTTGTGGACCAATGAAAAGACATATTTTTGTGGAACTGATATGGGTCTCTCTGATGTACGTCTCTCTACAAAGTTTGGTCATCTTACGTGAAAATTGGGCACCCTTTTTTATAGGCCACTCCCACCCCATTCCTCCCAATTGGCATTAACAGTTATTCTGTCCTTTGGCTTATGACTAACCTTTCCACAACATATGGAAGTATTGCACCTTTTTTGTGATATACCAACTAATTATTACAGTTCTACCTCAGATTGTTAGTTTTTGAAGCATAATGCTTTATTGTTGTCAGAGTTTCAAAATGATTTATGTTAAGTTTAAGATAAGATAAGATAAGATATTCCTTTATTGATCCCCCTTAGGAGAAATTCAGATGATGTACCGCTATGATATACCGCTTATTTACTTACAAGTGAATATTACCATTACAGTTAAGGATTGAACTTTTCAGACCCTTTCATGCTTCAACTACCTACTAGTTGCTTTCAGTGTTTTCTAGCTTCTATCTATCAGCTGATCAAACCCCTGCCTGCACCCACTGGTCATTAACACCAGTCAATGTATAGTCAGAGTTTCCATTGTTTGTGTTGCTAGGTGGGGTAGTAGAGCCAGATTGCTCAATTCTGTTACACATGTTTTCATAATTCTAAGAACTTTATTTATATAGCTCCATACAGAACAGTGTTACAAAGTATTTGACCTTTGTTTATCTGTTCTGTGTCATTCCGCCCTGCTCTCTAAGCTTTGTTTTTCTTTGCCATTCATTCCATGTCATTCATTCATCTTTTCCTGTTTTGTTAACATGACATACTCACCTCCTCTCTCATTTCAGATACTTTACTCCCTGCCCTTGTTAACCACCTGTGTGATTGTGTACCCCCAATTAGTTTCCTGTCCCTCATTATCCTTCCGACAATTTATTGTATTTAGTCTTGTATTTAGACTTCCCTTCTCTTAGTGCCAGTTCGTCTTTGTACCCAGTATCCAGTACCCAGTGTTGTCTTTGTCATCAAGCCTTTTTATTTGTTTGATCTCTGCTTAGTTTTATCTGGACCTCGCCTTAGTCTTCTCCTTGCAGGATTTTGTTCGCCTGATCATCTGACTGACTTCTTGTGTACCGTACATTTGCAAGTAAAGGCTGTTGTTACACTAACTGACTTTCAACTGCTGAACTAGTGACCTCTCATCATGTTGGTTTAGCTTTAAGTCAACCTGCCTTGCCTGTCTGTCTGCATTTGGGCCAACACTCCCACTGCCAGAAAATGAATAGTGATAAATTCATTATTGAAACAAGCATCCATAAAGAAAAAATAAAAGATTACAGTTGTCAAGGCCATCATCTGTGTTGATTCTAATAATCATGATAGACTAATAATAGATACAGTAAACTGTACCTGCCAAGAAACAATAACTATAGGACAAAAACTTTATAAGAACATACAACTCAAAATGTGGTAACATACAGCAATACTAGTTGGAACATCTTAAACTTATGTACAGCAACTTCTGAAAAATTCCCAACTTCTAGCTGCTATTAAAATTCTTGCTTTTGTGCTGCCATAGTCGGTCTTATATCCCCTAAGGCTGGGTGATATTGTTGAAATCAAATCAAATTATTATCATGATATTAAAAAAACACACAAGCAAAACATTCACAAACATATATAGTTACATAAAAGCAGTGAACTAAGTCATTGTTATGCAATACATTAAATCAACTTCATAACATCATCATAT